GAATAGTTCTTAATACATTTAAATTTTAGAAGGCTTAAGGGATAATATGAAAATAACCGGTACTATTCTTTAATGGGCGTTATAAGGGTATTATAACTTTCTTCATATATAACCGTACTCTCGAACCTAGCTTGGTTTCGTATACTAGAATCCACTTATTAAAGATACACGAGTCAACCTTGGGACATTCTTTTAAAAAGATAGATTCGGTTAGGTGGCCAAGCACACCTAAATAAAAAAAAATTGATGGCGACTCATTAAATTGTGTCTAGCGATAGGTTTACATATTTATATATTATGATAGTTCAACGACTTTACTGGGGATAAGCCGAGAGTCAAGCAACAAATTAATTTGTGTTATCCAAAAACCTAATAAAGTTAGTTTTTTTTATAATATTTTTTCTTTATTATTATCATTATTTTTTTAAAATGTATTTATTATATCATTCATATGCATGTGCATAAACATAAATTCTATACCTAAGTTTCATCCCTCTAGAAAGGAGTATAGTACCTATACTTTTATAAAGTTTTAATGCTCTATAATGGCTAGCGAAATTTTCTCACTCAAATTAAATCCTTTCCACTTATAGTTTATGATGGACGAAGATAGGGTGCTTTATTAGTTTATGATGGACAATGATGTGAGGAATAATTTTGAAACCTTTAGAATTACCTAAAACCACATATAGTTAGCTTTATGAGCCTAAACTATAGGTAGAGCTATGTTTCTTTTATTTTTTAGAATTGACCTAAAGTTTATAATCATATTATTATATTCTATTTGTGCTAATAGACTTATTTTTATATTGAGCTAATTAACCAATTTCATTACTTGTATATTCATAAACATGCATATATACTGCATAAAATACCTACCTTAAAGGTATTTTCAACAAAAGCTTTCATGAAACCCACTAAACGTCTAGTTTGATTCTATGGAAAAAAAATAAGGCTCTTTTTTTTGTTGAAATTTTTAAAATGGACAAACATTATCTCTCATACATTGCATTTGCATGAATAGTGCACTACTTTTAAAATAGTGGTACATAAATTTAAGTATACATGATAATTCGTGTATTTGTATAATATAAAATACTAAAAATTTATATATTCATATCGTATTTTATACAAAAATTACCTATCACAATTTGTGTCAACATAAAAACATAAAATATTTTTTTTTATTTTTTTAAACCTATTTATAATTTTTGCTAAAATTTTAAAATTTGTTATCTTTGTGTTTTTTATTCATATCAATTCCATGTCTATCATCATATCATGTTCAAAATTATCAGGTCTAGGTTTAAGGATAGCTCAACTATTTAAAAACTCTACTCAATTAACTTACCACCAATATAATACCCAAGTTCAAGCTAAATAGATGGAGCAAGAGAACACAAATCATTTTAAGAAAATAGAAAAGGCCAAAAAGAGCACAAAGGAAGTTGAATAAAATCTTATAAGCCCTAAACAAGTTGAACAAAGAGGAAGGTATGGAAGAAAATGCCAGCCCCCATCACCATCTATCACAAAATATCGTTGACCCCTTATACCCTTCTAGGTATGGTCCATCTCAAGCCCAGTCTAGTCCACTTAAGCAATTCTTCCACAGCAATTCCCATTCCCAATAGGATATACGTACCTTGGAATGCCTTTCACAGCAACTCAAGGGCACTTTTAAAGTTATGTCAATCCTATTTTTAGAAAAAAAGCAATAGAACTAGTATAAGTTCAAAATCTAAATGACTCAAAGAAGAAGTTGAAAGCACTAAAAGCCTTAGAAGACTTTAGATTTGAGCAAAAGATGAATTTGCTAGATGAAAGATTACAAGTTGTAGAAAGAATAGATTTTACGATTTTATGGATACGACTAGACTTTGCTTGGTTCTTGATGTTGTTATCCCACCAAAATTTAAAGTCTTAGAGTTTAAAAAGTATGATGGTACTAAGTATCCAGTGACTCATGTCACTATGTCCATTAAAAAATGGTCGCTTATACTAGTGACAAGAAATTATTGCTTCATGTATTCCATGACAACCATATTGGTTTTGCTACAAAGTGGTATATCCAGCTAAACAGGACTTGTATTACTTCATGGAAAAAATTGGCAAAGGCGTTCATTACCCAGTACGAGCATATCATAGACTTGGCTCTAAATAACCCCAAGATCTAATAATCAAACCAGCAATTTAAAGGAATCACAAAACGACAAAAAAAAAAAAGCTTCTTTTGATCGTAATCTTATAACATATATAGACTTGCTGTCACATTTATTGAAAAATCATTTGCTAGCCCCTATTCATGTTGAGGCATTGAAACCTCCTTATCTGAAATTGTATGATGCTAATACTCAATATGACTACCATTATAGAATCATAGGTCACTTAACAGAGAATTTTGTTGCTCTAAAGCATAAGGTATAAGGTCTCATCAATGCTGGTTTGATAAAATTTGACGATAATGAAAGGTCGAATGTCATTGAAAATATTTTGCTCAATAATACAAGGGCATGATTTTGAGAAGATGTTTTAGAAGTAATGAACTTTAGGGAGGTATTTTATGTGTTTATCTTGAATTTATCTTGCATTTCAATAAAATGGCAAATGCATTTTATTGCATATTCTTCTTTTTATCATTACTTTTATGTATCCCATCATGCTTTACTCGCTCCCATATTCCAAGTAATGAATATTCAGATAATTGTGACAATAATTTGGGATTTAATCTTGAAAATGTCATTCATATGATGAGATTGATGACTTAAACCCCTAATATATTGGGTGAATTAAAGTTAACATGCTTTGCTTATTTAGCAAAAGGCAAAAATAAAGCCATTTTAGGAGAATGTAATCCTTTATATCCACAAGCTTCATTTCATTCAATAGAGATTTTTCAAAAAAAGTATTCATATTTGAAATGAAAATAAACGTATTTCTTTTACCTTTTGTACAAAAAGTAAAATCATTCATTTATTATCCCTTTTGAGCCTATAATAATTTCTTTGCAAGAAACTTAGATACTAAGTATCACTCTCCACGTTAGGGGCAACGTTTGAAAAAAAAAAATCTATTTGCAAAAGAAAAATGGGAGTCCCAAATGATTAGAGCTAAGCCCATGATATATAACGCACCAGGATACAAGACTTCAACCGTGTCCTCGACCAAAAGTCGTTGCTCAATTATATTAGTAACAAATGTACCAACTTCGCTAAAAGGAGGCAAATTTCTCCATAGCCCTACTTGTTCCCTAGCCTTGCAGCATAGCATACATAACTTGCTGCAGCAACTTACACTACTAATACCAACTTTCCTCAACCTCATAATCTCAGCTGAAGCTCACTAGTTTATAAATTTCACAACTACATGAACTAGCAGTTAACACTGCCTATTAATACATAAATTATCGCCAAAATTCAACATCAAGATATAGATATAAAACAAAATTACTAATTATTCATTCAACATTTAGATTAAAATTACTTACATGACAGGGTCGGATAAAATGACCCCCAAAGAATCAGCAGACTCGCTCGAAAATGAAACATCTTTCCTCCCACTAAGCCCACATCCACCACCACCATTACTATTCTCCACCTTGCAAATACTGCGCGTAATCGTCACCGCATTCGTCACCGCGTTCTGATAATTATTACTCTCTCTCACCCCTTGCCCCACACAACTCCCTCCTTTCACCACCAACAGCTCCCTCCCACTTTCCAACAATAACTATAGAGAAGGGTATTTCTGACCTTTCTTACTTTCCTACTTATGTTCCAGGAAAGCTTGCTGTGAATTTTCTAACACTACAAGGTTTTTATTTATTTATTTATTTATTTTATTTTACCGTTTTGTATTTCTTTTTATGAGCATAGGGGCAGAATTTGATGTTAGAAAAAAGCAATTGTCGCACTCTGAGGTTCTTTAATATATACTTTTGCTGAATCTGAAACAAAAATGAAAAATTATTAAAAACTTTTGTGCTATTTCCTTCATTTCATTATTAATAAAAGTGTTAGCATTGAATCAATTAAAATTAATTTTGAGAGATAAAACCTACTTAACTAAAATAGTAAAGGGATTAAATTTAATTTTGAAACTAATAATTGATTTATTGAAAATTAATTAGGAAAAAAAATACAATGAAGGGGTTGAATTAAACTCAAAAATCCATTTTTTTTGTTTTCACTGTCAGTCCAATCTAGCTTTGATGTGTAGGTTTTTTGTTTTAATTTGTCAAAGAAAATTAATATTTATATCTTTATTATTAAAAGGATAAATTACAAATACATATTCTTTGGTTAGAGTTCAAATAAATTTAGGGTTTAGGATTTTGTGCTTTCTTTGGTTAATTTTCAAATCAACTTTATTAATGGGATGAAAATTAAGGAAGGAATAGAGATTTCAAACAAAAAAAAAATTTGCTTTCAACTTCAAATTAACGCGAAAATGGTTAGACAGGTTAATTGGCATTTTTTAAACCTTAAAAAGTTATATTTATTTTGGTTTACCACATGTTAAAATTTTGTAATTTATCATATTACTATTTTTAATTATATATACTATATTGAAATATTAATTTCATAGTGCCATAAATTTTGTATTAATATTTAAAAACATAAAAGGACATTGAATATAAATGAAATAAGAGAATATTAGTGCTATCCCCGTATAATAAATCATATTTTGTTTGCATATTTTTACATGCCTAAAAAATGTTTCATTAATTTAAAAAGTAAAAAAATTCATTTTTACTTTTTTATTACCATTTAACTATATGAAAAATCCTTTTTCTATTTTTCAATATGAGGGTATTTTGAAAAAGAAAATTTTTAATTAATAAAAGTCAAAATTGGACAAAAAATTTCTGAACATTTTCGCAAAATCAAAACAAGATACCACAAAAGGGAGTGAAGCTGCTTAACCCTACCAAAAGTTAAAATTTTTTTAGAATGATTGAAAACTACGTTTAATTGGCATTTTTTCCTAATATTATTCATCCATGGACTTATGAACATCACTTGGTATAAGTATGTGCGCCTTCATTTCCAATTGGTGAAAAAAAAGCTACTGCTTGGCTGAATCAGGGAAACTCAACTTGCATGGTTAGATTCTTAATGGAAATTGGAATCATATATAGCAATAACATAGGGTTGCCCACGTTGGATTTTGAATTCCAAACATGCTGAATATCACCGCTTAATGATGACTACATGTCTTATTCTCATGACCTCTAATAATAACTTGGTTAGAGTTTATTTAGTACAGTATTGTAGCACTAAAGCTTTTTAAATTTGACTAGTAGTCAAGCTGAGTATAGAGTGCAGCAGGCAAGCGTGGTTTAGCCAGTGCATGTAATGGTTTTGCCAAGAAAAGATCATCTTCCGATTCAGAGAGGTCAATTTTCGATTCATTAGGCGGTACGTTCCATTTAAAACCTTGAATCAGCCTGGCAAACAGCATTGCAGTCATTTCAGTCCCAAGAGCCACGCCTATGCACCCACGCCTTCCGGTACTAAACGAAATGAACCTCAGTTCCGGCTCTGTCAGATCAACTTTGTCACTCAAACCATCCTTCAGATGCCGCCCAGGTTTGAATTCCAATGGCTCGTCCCAAACTTTCGGGTTCCGGCCTAGGCCTGCTCGGCTGAGCAGGAAATGACTACCTTTAGGGATGACGTAGCCGGCAACTGTGGCATCGGCTATTGACACGTGAGGAACGTTGAAGGGTGCAATGGGGTGAAGCCGAAAAGCTTCCCTTGCACAAGCCTTTATATAATTGAGTTTTGGAATGTCAGCTTCTTGAACCCATCTCTCCTTTCCAACAACACTGTCTATTTCCTGGCAGGCTTTTTGGAGAATTTCAGGTTTGTTGAGCATCTCTGCCATAGCCCATTCTGCTACATTAGCAGGATTATCCACTGTTTCAAGCATCAATTCCTGCATGTATACCAAACAAGGATCACCACACTTAATTTAGTTAACCAAAAAATTTTATCCATCACCACCAAATACCATCGATCGTACGTGATTATTAAATTTGTACGTAAAATTAATTAAAAATTAGCTCCATAATCCTTCCATTTTAGTACACAAGTTGATTAATTTAGTTAATTTTAGGATAAATTATGTTAGAGGTTTTTATATTTTATGAAAATTTAGAATTTAATCCTTGTACGGTAATTTATACAAATTTAGTTATCGTATTATTTTGAACTGATAATATTAATTCAATCATTAATTTTGTCAATTTTATATAGTTAAAAATATTGATGCAGCCATTGACTCTATTAATGTGGTGTTAACATGCTGACATTAATACTTTTAACGGCAAAAAATTAACAAAATTAGTGATTAGATTAAAATTATCGAATTATATAAGAACTAAATTTATATAAATTATAATATAGATATTAAATTTTCACAAAGTATAGTAACCACATGCAAGCTAAAAGGTAGAATTGTGTTTAAACGTGTAATTAAGAATCTCACCGTGCATTGGGCTCTGATCTCTACAACTGAAAATGCTGGCTTCCCATTTGAATCCTTTGCTGAAATGAAGGCATCAAGAAGGTCTTCAGGCTCCTTCTTCTTCCCTTCTCTCCACTGTTGTACTCTCTCATCAATAATCGGATCATGGTAACTGTTGACAATTCTCAGAGCCTTAGTCACAATCTTCTCGTTACCCTCCAAATCTAATGCTCTCAGCCAAGGTACATAGTCTGATAGGATGAAAGAGTAAATGTGCATGAGAACAGTAAAGAGAGATTCGACGTGCTCTTCTTCTTCATGTCCAGGCCCTCCATCTTCTTTGCCCTTTCCAAAGTATCTTTTGTTGAATATCATCCTCCTGATGACATTTCCTGTATATTGCCTGGTTGCAAGTCTCAGGTTTATAACGGATGCATTGGAAATATCAGCTTCATTGTTGATGCATTGGTTGTAAATGAACCTAACATGATTATTAGCTTCTTGGTTTCTCTTTGGAGTAACCAGCTAAGTCTTTGTGGACTAATTATGTTTGAAACAACCAATTTTCTCATTTTCTTCCATTGATCTCCCCATGGGACAAACGCTATTGACAAGAAACCACGAGAAGCATAATCAGTTGCCATCGTAATAGGCCTCGATGCAAAAACTGCATCATGTTTTTTCAAGAATTCTTGAGCAATTTCAGGTGAAGTGAGGGGAATGACATGAATGTTTCCCAGGCGGAAACAAGCAATATCGGTGTCCAGTTGTTTCATGAGGCCAAGAATCCACCTGAAGGCAGGCTTGTTTTTCCATAATTCAGGGAGGTTTCCAATGACTGGCCAGGGAGTTGGCCCTGGTGGGTGAGGTGCTTGGTTTGGGTTCTCATTTCTAGTGTTGCCTTTCAATTTGAAAACGACAAGGAGTGCAAACAGAAAGACTAAGACATGTGTTGAATGAAATAAAAAAACGCTAGAGACGGTAAATCATGAGAGTTGCTCCAATAAGGCAGCAGAGGAAATGGGGAGGAAATATTAGTGGAGTTATCCATTTCCTAACAATTAAACAGAACTTTTCTTCTGTCCGTCTGTCTATTTGTATGCTTGTCTACACAAAATGGATGATAGGTCGATCTATATATAGAGATTAGAGAGAGAGAGAGAGTTTTAAACATTGTTTTGACATTCATTGTACTTTGTTAAAAATTTAAGAGCTTGTTAAAATCGCTAGATAGTAAGTGTCATTCTGTTTGTTATTTTGGTATCTGTTTTTTTCACATTGATCGATTTTTATGGACGAAATTTTTTTATCGGTAATTATTGAAAGATTTTCGATGGTTTACAAACCAAAATTAAAAAATAATTTAGAAATTTTTTATCAATTACCTACCGACAAAATGCTAACGAAATTTACTATGGAAAACAATCATTGGTAATTCGTAGGTGAAATTGCCATGAGAAAAATGAGGATTTGGTGCATTTTTTATTGATGAAATAAATTTGTCAATAATCCATCACTAAAAGCTTTATTGATGGATTTATTTAGTGTGTAAAAAATTTTCGATTTAAAATATATATATTTGGAATTAAATTGGAGGGTTATTTTTTAATTACCAAAGAAATATGTTAGTAATCGGTCGTTAAAAATAAAAAATATTGATGGATTCCATCGGTATCCATCGTTAAAAGTTAAAAAATTTTTGAATTATTGACAGAATATCCGATGATAATCTGTCGATAAAAGTCAATTAAATTTAAAAATCTCATTCCCCCTTACCTTTGTTCCTTGATTGAAAACCCCAACTTTCATTTCTCTCTTCTCTCCTTTTTTCAGTCCTTGTCATTGACCTGTGCTCGTGCTGCGCTGCCTTCTCCTCACCGCCACCAACCCTTGAGCCCATGAGCCAATGACCTTAAGTCCTTAAGCCTGTGACTACCAGCCCTTGAGCCTTTGAGCCCGTGACTGCCCGTGACCACCGACCCTTCAATTGGCTTAGAACTCATCATCTTTGCCAAGGTATAGTTTCATTACTTTGCTTGTTGATTTTGATATAATTTCATTAATGGAATTCCTTGTTAACTTTTTGTAGAATACTCGTCTGGCCGAAAGCTTTTAAACCTATGCTAGAAGAGGAAGCAAAACCTATGCTAGAAAAGGAAGCAAAACCAATGCTGATGAATAACTAACCCCCTTGATTCATCGAGATAAGGATAAATATTACATAATAAATATGAAAGTGAAAATAGGGATGTGTATGATTATAAATTTTTATTGAATACAGGAATGTGGACAGGTAGTACAGCACCAACTCTAAACTCATATTTTACATTTATATTTATATATATAGTAAATAAATTTTTTATTAAATAATATAATTTATTATTTTAGATTAATTAGAATTCATAAATTTTTATTAAAAAAATATATATTAATGTATATTTTAAAAAATTACTTAAATATATAAGATAAAAATAAAAAAACTAAAAAAAAATTTTTATTTTTACTTTTTAAAAAAGTTATGGGTATAAGAATTATTATTCATACCCATTAAATACTTGTAAAGATAAATATGAAGATAAATTTAAGATACCCATTGGGTATTGATATGAAAATGTGTATAATATAAAAATGCAAGGATGTGGATAGAGAATACTTTACCCTTCCCATATCTTCTCCAATGACGTTCTAATGTAACTATTTGATTATTATTTTGAGATAATACTCAAATAAATTTTTGAATTTTATTAAAAAATATAAAAAATTAAAATTTTAATATTTTATTATATAAAATTATGAATATAAATTTTTATTTTATTATAATTAAAATCTTAACAGTATAAAATACTCAATTTTCATTAAATTTTTTAATTGAATGATTTAATTTATAACAAAATATTTACTTACACTTTTTTCTTTTGAAAGGTTACAAAGATTTATTTGGATAAACATGAAAACAAATAGTGGAGCCAACCTTATTTTAAAAATTATAACACTCGGACATTTTTCATTATTCTTCAAAATTTAATGTGTATAAATATAATGAAATAAAAGTTTATAACTTTAATTTCATGCAATAAGAAATTAAAAACTTTTCAATTTTGAATAAAATTCAATGATTTATTTTGATATTTGCTAATTTATTTTTTATATTTATAATTGCTAGGAATTGAATGAACTATGATTTTTTTTTAAAATTAACCAAGAGTTAAATGCTTGCTTAATCAACACAACATATGGTTATTGGTACTCATTTTCTTTTTATTTTTTATTTTCTTATATCTTCATTTATTATTTAATTAAGCTTTCTTCAAGATAAATATATGAGATGAGGTTATAATTCTTTTTATTTGATTATTTTAGATATTATGAATATTTTGTTACATCAAAAGGTACAGCATGTTCGATTCCATTTTACAAGCCTTCAATTCATTGATTTTTCCTTTTCGATAAACCAATTCATTGAATCCAAAGTAAAATTTCAAAGTCAACCGGCTTACGTATCTTCGTTTATGGAAATAATAATTTACCTTTTTTAAAAAAAATGTGTGGGTTTTGGTTTTTAATTCATGTGTTTCACGTGTGCTTGCCTGCTGATGAATACATTTTTTTTAAATGTGTTTCACGTTTACCAAGTTTTAATGAAAGAAAATAGCTAATGACGGATCTTGATTAAAATTTTGAGGAATTAATTAATAATATATAATATATATATTTTTAAAAGCATATTTTATTATATTATTAATATATATATATGCAAATAATATACTAATAAAAATATGATAAGCTCATAAAATTATAAAATAAAAATACTATTATAAACCAAAAGGCTGTCCATGTTTGCTTCGTTTTCAACATGTTTTTTTTCGTTGTCCTCCTTAAAACTAGACATGGAAACGTTTTTTTTTTTTTTAAAAAGGTTTTTATTTATGCTTAATAATTATTTCTTTCATTTCATTTTCTTTGTCAATCAGTTTTAGAATGTTCTAAAATTATTTATATTTTTTAATATTAAAATTTTTTATTTTTTATATTTTAAAATTATATTTTAAAACTTTTTTAATTTTTTAACATTAAAAATTATAAATGTCTACTTTTATAAAAAAAATTTATATTAAATATATTAAAATTAAAAACATTTTTTATATTCTATAAAAATAAATAACATCCAAATAATTTATGATGGGCAAAATAATTTATCCATTCATTTTCTAAGTACACTCAAAATTTAAAATTTAGACTCAAAAGTTTTATTCTTTACACCCAAAAAGTTATTCTTTGTATTTGTAATGATTTATGTCTTCTATTTTCAGAGAAAAGAAACTGTCCTTGATTTTTTAGTTAAATATTGATCAAATTTAAATATAAAGTATTGAAACCAAAGAAGTAAGTTGGAATGCTTTGGTTTTCCAAACGTTTTTACATGTGGATATTCAAAAGTATTTTAAATTGTTGCTTTTATTTTACTCTTAAATTATTTGTTAAAAATATTTGTGGAATCATGCATCAAGTATCATAGTGTAAAAATATGGTAAGTTATTTTGTTTTTATAATTTGTTTTGTGTGAGTTGAAGAATAGGGGGTGTCAAGTACACTTTTATGAAAGAAAATTTTTATGGAGTATGCTCTAATTATTTTAATTATCATAGCTTTATCAAAATGTTTTAAAATAATTAATTTAACATGATTCTATTATCTCATCAAATGCGGGAAGCAATGAAATTATATTGGAACATTTGGTCTATTGTAAATGAGATGATGCAAAAAATGTGAAAAATTTTTCATATGCATATGAAGATAATAGCT